TTTTTTTTTTTTTTTAACTATAGAAGCATAAATTATAGAATTATAGAAGAAGAATCGTTGGAAATTATTTGCTCGCGTTGTTACGAGATTGTAAAATAAATGTATACGAAATAAGGTGTATTAAATTCGAAATTTCGTATGCATATAATATTCATCGAAATATCTAGTAAATGTATTTTCATTTTTTTCATTTTTTCCTCTTTGATAGAGTACCTATGCAATAACGTAAATACTGTTTTTCATCGTAATTCGATACAGTGCAATTACTTGCAAACTCTCCAATCATGTGGAAAATAGGAGATGATTGAACTTTTTGCGAAGTTATTCGTTGGTCGTTAAATACGAAGATGGATATGTAATAATCTGTAATAAAAACTGAACGTATCCTGTATACATCTCCTGTCTATTTATTTGCGTTTGTTTCCTGTTGTTGAGTATTTTTCATTTTTCGAAACGAGATATCGGCAATGTTACGATAATGTATGATTATAATAATGGTTAATTAAACGATGAAAAATAAAAAAAACCGCTCGTCGATATAATTCGAATTCGAAAAAAGACATCTTTCTTTTATTTTCGAATAACGAATCTAATCGTTATTTAATGATTTTTAGAACGTTTCATATTTCAAGAATTGAATAATCTCGCACTAATCTCGATTGAGATTAAAAACAATAGCTGTCGATTTTCAATTTTAAAGCATTGTTTCATATGTGATAAATCTGACGGAAATATTGTTTCGTACAAATGTTTCCAATTTTGTACAATAGTAGTTTCTACAATAATGTGATTTCTCTCGCGAGGGCCATAGAAGTTTCAAAAGCTTTATAAAAATTCGTTATTATTGTTTACGCGAGTTCCATTGTTGGGAAAAATGTCCAAAGCCTCGGAAAAATGTGAAATGATAATAAAGAATTTTCAAGTAGGTTTTTTTCCGTCGCTTTGTAACTCCGTAAAAATATTGTCAGAGGAAACAAACGCATAACCGATGAGATAATGTATTTTGTCGTGACGTTTGACTACGAGTAGGAAATATTTCTGAATTGTTTTCTTCCACGTTAAAATTCTAACGTGTATATAAAATATAGGCTCGACATTGAATATATATATATACTCGTAATTATGAATCGATTCAGTGTAATATTCTCCAAGTTGAATAATTGTACGAATAAAATAAATTTCCATATGTATTTGCGCAATCTTGTTTGTTAACAATTCAATATGAATATTTCAATAATTCTATAAATCTGAGTAATTGCAAAATGGATTTTCAAAAATTCAAGTTTAATAATAAATACTCGTATAGTTCATTAATATTATAAAATTTACGGTTTGTTAATTTTGATGCGTATCATGAATTATTCATTGACATTTCGAATCAAGAGATTGTCATACTGTATTACATTTTTACTATATTTAATATCATTTCTCGTTTTATGATTCGCGTCTTCCTTCATCTCGACGAATCACGACTCTAAATCTTTAAAAACGTCGTTTGCCATTACAATTATTCGCAATTATTTATTATTATTATTATTATTGAAGTAACTTATGGAAATAAATTTTCACCATGTAAATAAATCTCTCCTTAGAATTTCATCTATGGTCACAAGTAACCAAAATCTCCAAACCTACGAAAAAATATAATTCATTCGAACCAAGCATCATCTCTCTAATCACTTCTTAAAACCGATCCTTTGAATCACGCGAATTCCTCTCGATTCGTCCACCATATCCCACAACCTCGAAACGCAATACTATAGAAAAAGAGACAGAAAAAAAGAGAAACAGAGAGAGAGAGAGAGAACTTAAGAAATTCCCTTTGAACCGCGTACGTGGGCCGTCAATTAGCCGGTGTCACGACGCGGTGTTACGCTTTAAAAATGCACGTCCACTTTGTGCACGCTGCGCTCGTTTAAGCATCGAGTCGTCGTCCAACGTCGTCCTCTTTTCCTTATTCAACAGCGGTTTCACGCTATCCTGGTGGAATTGTCGCCAACCCCGTGCGCGCACAGCCACTCCTGTGTCTCTCCGCGGAGTCACCCTGGCGCCGGCCTCACTATTGACTTCCTTCCTTCCTTTCTTTTTTTTTTTTTTTTTTTTTTTTTGGAATTTTCCTTGGAACGCTAGAATCCAGTTCCGAAGAGAAGCTGCCAAATACCTCCGAAAACAGCCCCGAACAACACGCAACGGATCGTTTCGCTCTATAACGCGAGTCGTAAAACGACGCGTCCTCGGGAAACGAGCGAATCTCGGGATTCTTAGACTCTCCCCCTCCCCCCGGTGGATCGATCGATTCTATCCAGACTGCAAACTTCTACGAGGAGGGGGAGAGGAGGAAGGTAATCCAACATCGCGGGCGCCCAACTTGTTCCAACGCGAAGAACGCACGGCTAGATATAAAGTTTGCATCGAGAATGATAAGGGATCGATACGATTTTACGGGGGAGGAGAAGCGGAGTTTACACAGGTTTTCGATGCACCCTCCCTTCTTCCCTTCTCGTCGCGCCTCGTCGTCCTTCGATTCAGAGCTTCCACTTTTCTCCCTTTAACTTAATACTATCATCGAAAGCTTTAAGGAAAGGCTCGAACTAGGTCCTGCTACGGAGTGTAGCGGAGCCGAGCAACGTCTCTTATTTCTTTTCACAGTGT